AAATGGAAATCAGCTGGATTGGAGGATTATTAGGAACATGGTAAAAGTAATCTTTCAAGATACCGGAGTCCAAATACTGGTCTGCAGCCATTCGCTCAGTGTTCAGGTTAAAACAAAGACAGTCCCTTGTTACTTCCATGTAACTGGAAATTGTAAAAGAGGGTTCAGTTGCAGATACAACCATTCCATTTTAGTTTCGTTCCAGGAGGAACTATCGCTTAAGGAGGGGACAATGTAATGTGAGCCATTTCATTATTCAGTAATGTTCTAATCCTCTAAGTCCCTCTCTGTCTTATTTGGCCTTTGAGGTTTAACTTGTCCGATTATACCCAGATAGCACAGGACGTCCTAAGGACGTCCAATACATGTCCATTTAACGTCTGTACGTCCGGGACCTATTATGGACGTTTTAAGTATGTCCAGTTTAGTAAATCCTCGGGACGTCAAGAAATAGATATCCGCAAAATGTCAATTGTACATGCTTTACTATATTTCCATGGATTCACATTCGCATTGTATTATTATTTGGTTATATTATACAAAAAACATATATAATGAGATAATATAAATAATTACTAAAGATGGTATTGTCTCAATATCCAATTGAACGAAGGCCAAATAGACAAAAACGAAGATCTTTTGCAAGAAAGTGACATTGTTGACAAGTGACTTTTTATTTTTATTTATTTAGATGAAAGGATATGATTCAGATTCAAGCAAGCACTGAAGTGAAATATTCCCAGGGCTCAGGTTTTATTAAAAAAGTGTTCAATGTTCATGATTCGATGGTATACACATATTATACGAGTACATCTATCATTCCGCCATTTGTACCATTTTTATATCTGAGAAAGGTGGAAGTTTTCCAAAGCTAAAAGGTTAGTGAATTTATAATGTCTAGCAAGGCAAACTGAAACAAACAGATTGGATTTTAATTTTGATATGCCTTTTATTTTGAATAAGCTATTAAATTATTTTCAGATTCAGTTGAGAAGGCAAATATGACCAAATCAAGATATCCAGGCATGGTTGAAAAGAGCTACTAATACTACAAAGCTAAAAGGTTAGTGAATACATAATGTCTACAGGGTAAACTTAAACCAACAGATTGGATTTTCATATTGATCTGCCTTTCATTTTGAATAAGTGATTAAATTATTTTCAGGTTCAACTGGGAAGGCAAATATGGCCAAATCAAAAAGAAAAAAAACAACTGCTCTCAATCCAGGCATGATTGAAAAGAGCAAAGTAGAGGAGATATGGGATGAATTTGACGAAAAAGTTTTAATAATTTCACTATTTATAGGTTATTTGCTTCCAAATAATTTTTTTTGAAATTATTCATTATTTTCACTAATTTCCTTACATCCTATTATTCCCCATTTGAGCTTTTGAAAATGTCCATGGAATGTCCTTAAATGGACGTTCTTAAGACATCCTGATTATTAACAATGGACGTTCCAAATACGTCCATAAGACGTCCACGGCCGTGAAATGGACGTTTTAAGGATGTCCTGAATGTCCAAGCAGGACGTTTTTAGAACGTCCATAAGACGTATTTGTGCTATCTGGGTAATATATAATTAAACCCCTTAAGACCAAACATATGTAACGACTATGGCGGAGGCGCTTTCGAGACCTTTCTAGGTAGAACGTGATAATTGGAATCCACCCAAGAATCCACCAGAATTTTAAATTTGTATATAAATATTGGTGGAGGAACAACGCACTAGTCAGTTGTAGATAGACAGTGGTGAATATAAAAGTGAACAGTTTAAAGACATTCGAAATATATATAAATTAGAATAGTATTGTTAAAAAAAAATAAGTGTTTAAATAAATTATTAATAAATAAGCTGTTGTTTAAAATAAATAAACATTACAGGATGTTCAATTTAACAGGTTCAGTGCCAACGTCCAGTTTATTGGACGAAAGAGTTTCTAATGACAGCTCGCATCCAGTTAACTTGACACTCCTTAAATATTAAATATAAGTGTTTCTATAAACAGTGGTCTATTGAGATATACAGGGTGTCTGTAAAATGTCTTTACAAACATACCACATATTCCTTAGACCAAAATAAGTCGATTTAAGTAAAATTACCATAGAACAAGGCTCCAGAGGGCCTTGAAGTTACAATTTTTAAATCGTTTTTCCCATATAAATTTAAAACGGCATATGCGATTTTGCTGAAATTTGGTATATTGGTAGAGTTTTATGTAGCAAAAAAATAGTATTCAAATTTTGTCCGATAATAATACATAGGCATAGAACTTGATTTTTTAAATAATTGCTCCTTTAAAAATTCTACGCCAATGGAAGAAAAGGAGTTTGAGTATGAAATTTAGATTGCGCAACTCATTTACTTTAAAAAAGATTCTCTTGATAAGACTCGATTACTCTCATGGTTTTGACGAAATTTGCATTTTAGTAATTTTAGAACATAAACAATAATTATTAAAATACAAACTTTGTCAAAACCATGAGAGTAAATCGAGTGTTATCAAGGGTACTTTTTTGTAGTAAATGAGTACCCAATCCAAATTTCATACTGAAACCCCTTTTTTGCCATTGGCGTAGAATTTTTAAAGGTGCAATTATTTAAAAAATCAAGTTCTACGCCTATGTATTATTATCGGACAAAATTTTATACGATGAAAAACATAAAAATGTACTTTTTTCATATCTTCTTCTAATCGAGACTTTTAACAAAAATACTCGATTCTTGCCATGTACGATTTTTTGAGGAATATTAATTATTTGCCTGCAATACGTATACAAAAACATTTATTGTTGGTTTCCATAGTTTCATCTAAATAAAAATATTGTCAATTTTAACACCTAATCTCTTGTTAACGATTGAAAGTGTTCTATCTGACTCAATAATTAAAAAAACAAATGCGTGGTTTATTAATATGGCTGTACAATATACCAATGCAGAATATACCGATATGTTACTGACATTAGGATTTCGTAAAGGAAATGCTCGAGAGAGTGTCAGGGTGTACTCTGAAAGGTTTCCAAATCGTCGTGTACCTAGCCACCCAACTTTTGCTGCTGTTGAGAGACGTCTTCGGGAGACCGGTTCCTTTGCTCCCAACACTGTTGATAATGGAAGAGAACATTTTGTAAGGATTCCTGAAGTTGAAGAAGACATTTTAGAACGTGTTGAAGAAGATCCAGAATTAAGCACCAGACGAACTGGAAGGGAACTAGGAGTAAGTAAAGATGTCGTTCATAAAGTGCTTGGAGAACAATTGCTTTATCCATACCATAAGAAGCCAGTACAAGAATTATTAGTCCATGATCCTCAAATTCGTTTGGGTTTTTGTCGATTTGTTAATATGCAAAGATAAAGAGATCCAAACTTTGTCAAGAAGGTTCTCTTTACCGATGAAGCGGGTTTTACAAGAAGAGGTATAACTAATACCCATAATGAACATGTTTATGCCGTTGAAAATCCGCATGCAATAAAGGTAAACCATTTTCAGCACGAATTCAAAATTAATGTGTGGGCTGGAATAATTGGTAATTTCATTGTTGGTCCTGTCATACTTCCACGAAGATTAACTGGAGAAAATTATTTGGATTTTCTACAAAATACGTTGCCAGAATTGTTAGAAGATTTACCTCTCCAACTTCGGAGAGATATGTGGTTTATGCAAGATGGAACTCCACCACATTTTTCTTTAAACGTTAGAAACCATTTGAATTAACAATATCCACACAAATGGATAGGCAGAGGTAATGACGCACCTGTAAACTGTCCAACACGTTCCCCAGACCTAACACCGATGGATTACTTTTTATGGGGACATCTGAAATCCACAGTTTACAGGGAACCTATAGAAAATGAGGAACAACTCTAGCAACGTATTCAAGATGCAATAAACAATCTTAGAGATGATGAAGAAGTTATGGAAAGGATACATTTTAATTTTCTTCGACGTATAAATCTTTGTATGCGTGAAAATGCTCTTAACTGACTAAATATTTCATAATTATGGGTAGTCCTGTTATGTTTATAAATCCTGTGAGCAACCTTTTTATCATTAACCAAGCTCCTAAGCTGCGAGGAATACTAATGTGGAAATTTTTTCGTAGAAACTTTCCTAATGGGAACAAATAACTCAATTACGGAAAACAGAGCGTCATAAAAAATGGAAATCATCTCGGAAAGTTCCTTATCTCGAAGAAGCCCGTCCCAATCCATGTCTTCCAAATATTGACGTATACCCGTGAAATTGGCGTTGCGAAAATCATAATAACACTCATCACCGGGAGCCACACTTTTGTTCAACATAAATTGTATTGTTGTTTCCAGAGGAGGGTGATGCGCATCAGGTGAGATCAAAATGTTGTCGGCACTGTTAGTTCAACAGGGGACAGAACTAGGTCAAGAATAACACCCCTTGTGTTGAAGACATTATTAGACTGGAAGATATTGTACAATGCACATATATTCGAGACTATTTCGATAGCACTTGCTTCAGTCAATGAAGATGTGTGTTGAGCTGTAGCTGAAGAACATAAATCTTCAATTTGCCATATTGCCGTAGGTAGATTGTAATCTCCAAACAGGTAAAACTGACTGCCTAGATATTGCTGGTTTAGGATTAACAGTTGATCATACTGAAGTTGATATAGGTTAGCATGATATTTGGGAGGAATGTATATGGTACCTAAGATGTGTTTGCACTTACTTTGGTCCAGGTGAATAAACAGTTGCTCGATTGATGGGTTTGAGTTGAGAATACTTGAAGAGAATTTTTTCTTAACAGCAATTAAAACACTCTGCTAAAGATGATTGTCTGGGTTGTACGATCCTGTCTGTAGATGTTGTAATCGTGTAGGCCAAGTTCGGCATCGTTTATCTCGTCGGTAAGCCATGTTTCCGTAAGAACAATTACATCGTATGAACAGTTTGAGACATTAAGACTTAATTGAGATAGTTTGGTTCGAAGGCCTCTTACGTTTTGATAATAAATAGATAGCTTGCCCGGATTTACTAGTTTGTTTGAATTATCGTAGGAGTATTGTTGACATATTTTATCGTTAAATCTTGTTCGCCAACTGGCTGCCGCTGCAGTAACTGGGTAGTTAAACTACATCTCTTTGACAAAATCAGAAGAGCTCTCAGAAGTAAGTACTCAGAAATATCCATAAATATATCCGACTAAATCTGAGCTCTTATTGTATTACTTCCAAATATTTAATTTGTAAATAGTTTGATGGAACATAACCTCATTTATTTAAATTTTACTAATCACAGTAACGGTTCAAACTGTGTTAAAAATAACGCCATCATCCAACTCTACTTTTTCTCTGAACTGATATTGACATTTCAATCTTTAAGGTTTTACATATAGGTAACTCTTTAAAAATACTTTCTGAATACAGTTGTTAATCTGACAATCAAAAATGTATTACTAAAGGAAAGTAAGTGGTATAATATGAGTCACAACTACCATTCTCAAACCAAAATATACTAAATAAACGAAACTTTCACACCGACGTAGTAATTTGCTCTATAACCTGTATATTTCTAACAATTGGTCTTCTATAACCCCTACAGTACTCCCAACGCGCCAGACCTTCCGGAACGCTTTTACTGGGCCTCAAAACACCCTTTTTCGCCCTAGGAAGGCTGGCGTACCTAATACAATCCTGTCTATAAGTGTTCGGAGTATAATACGGTGAATGGTTTATATTAGCAGCGTACGACAAACTTTTCGGAAGATACTGATGATGAGGTTCCCTTCTATGCCGAAACGAATGTCGATGTAAAGAGTTTTTGTCGCAATGCTCGGTACATGTCGGGAATATCCGTTCGTAGTGGTTGTTGCTCGGTCTGTAGAAATTGTAGGGTGGTATATCGGGGGTGTAAACGGGGTTGTACGGTCCTAAGCTGCATATGCAGTCGTTAATGTTCGCTATGGTGCAGTTGTTGAGGTTACAATTCATTGAATTGCTGTTTAGGATCGGTTGGTGTTCTTTGCGGGTACCGACGAGGAACATTAGACTTGCTCCTAATAGAAGAAACATAATTTAATTTATCAATGATAAAAAGTAAATACAATGTACTATATATAATATATATTACCCCATGCATATTAAGTAATAGTTTAGTACTTACCAATAATAGTAGTAACGAAACTAAAATAATATCCAGCTTTAGGATACGTTTGGTTGATATAACCAGTAATGGGAATCCCCACTAAAACCGGGATAGCTTTGGCACCCTGAATAAAACTCCAGGCTTTCGTAAAATGTCTTCCCTTGATTCGCTCCAAAGTAAACATCTTCAAGGCATAGTTGTAGCCTCCGAGACAAATTCCGTATAGCCACACGAATAGTACGTAGCCGTGGTAGCCTTGGACAACGGTCAGAGCTAGAAGTGAAATACCTGAAAGATTATAATAGTTAGTTAGTAAAAAAGCAAAGTTATATAATTGTACGGACCCATTCCAACCATTGCTGCTTGGCATAGATACTGTCTGGATATAAGACACTGTGTACTGGGCTTGATGATGACCAAGCCAAATCCGACGCATCCTAAAGCAGATGCAAAACCCATGAAAGTTTGTAGAACCACTAATCCACTGTCTTCCAGACCTTCTTTGTAGCCTTGGTAAACCTAAAACACAGTTCTGTAAATGTCAAAGAAATTTTAGTAGAGTATTTGAATATGAAGTAAAGTTATTTCTATTATTGACCCTTCTTCACATATTATTGGAAAGGAAGGCCATGATGGTCTTCTGTAGACTCCTGATGGTGGGTTGTCAATGCAATGAAGGTCTAGGGGAGAGTGCCCTACAGTGAGACAGGTCCCACAGTGAGACATTTACTATATCTCTCTGAAAAACTGTAATTGTTGGCAACGCTGTACAACAAACGAACCACCTCAATGCATTTACGCATCTCTTCAGTCGAATGGTAACCTTGAAGGCGATAGTTACGTTCAATATCAGTAAGTGAATAACTGGTGAAAAAATCGAGTATAATAATATAATCATGTCTCACTGTAGGACGCAAGTCAAATTCAGGATAAATAAATATCGTGCTTATTAAAATCTGGATTTGAAGATTTAATTTTTGTTTCAGAGCAAAGAATATGGACAAAGAAAAAAGAAAATTAAATAAACATGACGCACATGTAATGAGGGAAGCAGTAGCTATGGTAATAGCAGGACAGCCACTAAGAGAAGTTGGTCGTATAAAAGGTATACCACATCAGACTTTACATCGCTATGTTAAAAAACAAAAAGAAGCTACCGAGCCCATTTCTATGGTACCAAAATATGATGTAAGAAGAATATTTACAAAGCAGCAAGAGAATGTATTGGCAAACATGATCACCTGCGCAAAAAATGTTCTACGGCCTACCTCTAATTGAATGTAGACAACTAGCCTACGAAATGGCAAGTGTGAATGAAATTGATATGCCAGATACCTGAAAAATTCGAGGGCTTGGAGGGAAGAAATGGATGCGGGGTTTTATGAAGAGAAATCCTCGGCTATCATTCAATCATTCAATGAAACCAATGTAAATTTGTTTTTTGATAAATTACATACATGTTATATGAGAAGTGAACACTTCAGTAACGGAACAAGGGTTTTTAACCTAGATGAAACTGCTACCATCACACAACAAAAACATCATATAAAAATCCTAGCAGAAAGAGGCTCCAAACAAGTCAGCAAGATAACTTCTGGAGAAAAAGGAACCCTTGTAACAACGTGCATGATTGTAAGTGCAACTGGAAATTGGTTACCACCTGCAATGGTATTTCCCAGAGTCAACTTTCACAGTCGTATGATCAATGGTACACCTCGAGGCACATTAGGTTTGGCTGCTAAGACGAGTTGGATAAACACCGATTTATTTATTGATGTAATGAAACATTTTATTAAATGTAGTGGGTCCTCACAAGCAAATCCTTCTATACTAATTTATGACAATCACGAGAGCCACATATCAATACATTGTATTGAATTGACAAAAGAAAACGGTGTAACGCTTTTAACTTTTCCTCCCCATAAGTTGCAACCATTAGATGTTGGAATTTTCGGGCCTTTTCAGAAGTTTTATAACGCTGCAGTGGATAGCTGGATGCTTCACAATCCTGGACATTCATTTAGTATATATGAAGATGCGGCATGTGTTGGACAAGCACATGAAAAAGTAATGACACCGGCAACAATAACGCATGCCTTTAAAAAGACTGGAATTATGCCATATGATCGAAACATTTTTGCTGAAGATGACTTCCTAAGTAGCCAAGTAACCGAAAAACCTTTAATTGAAGACAACAGTGAAAATGACCATTTAACCCAGACTAAAATTATTGAAATTAATGAAATCCAGACAACTACTGAAATTAATGCGATTCCAACCGTAGAAATTCATGAAATTCAGACAACTGCTGAAATGATTGAAATTTCTGACAAGGTTCTAAAACCAACTTCTGGTCAAAATAGTCAGATATCAACTCCACAAGAAAATTTGTCTCTTAAAATCCAATCTACGCCAAGTACATCGAAACAACAATTAATGGATCAGGAAAATCAACCAAAACTTAATTTTATCTCTCCCTATATATTTAGAGGATATCCAAAGAAAACTGTCGACAAAGAAAAAAAAGGAAAATGTATGATAGCCACTGACACCCCAGTGAAAAATGAAATCGAAGAAAACTTTCTGGAACGACAGAAAAAAGTTGCAAAAGCAAAAAACAACTATACGAAATATTAGTCAAAGCTGTAAGACAAAAAAGACACCTCAGAACATAAAAAAAATTAAATACAACTCTAACACTTTAAAGGATTCTAGTGAAGAATCCAGTGATGAATTTTCCGATAAGGAAAATACTTCAGATGAATACGAATCTGATGAACGAGAAGATCTAGTTCTAAATAAGTTAGAAAAACAGCCAAAAGCAGATGATTACGTATTAGCATGTTTTAAGGCAAAATCTTCAAATATTTACTATGTAGGTAAAGTGATAAAGGGGGGTGATGGGGAAACAGAAATAAGTTTCCTCCGTAGACTGGCGCAATAAAATAAATTTACTTATCCGCAGGTACCCGACATTTGTTCTGTCCAAAATAGTGATATAAGTGCCATTTTACCCAAACCGATTTATTTTGGTCAAACTAGACGACAACATGCATACCTAACTTTTCATGTTAATTTTGACAATTTGGAAGTTCGTTAATTGTTTCTGTACCTAATAAAATGACAAAAAAATATTTTACACTGTTATTTTTCCTACGTCCCACCCAAAGAACCATTGTCTCATTGTTGGACACCCCATGTCTCACCCTTGGACAAGAGTGCCCAACAGTGAGACAATTTTTTAATAAAATAAAAAATTATTATTCCTTATTTCCCATTCGATTTAATAAAAAATATTGCCAGAATTATTTGTCTATGCAAGAGTTACTTAATTGGTATTTTTTATTTTTTTTGTACACGAAAACTTAAAAAAAAAATGTCCCACTGTAGGGCACTTTCCCCTACGATATGACAAAATGGGGCTAATGACTGAGAATAACTACCACATCTTAGGCATGGTTTCAGACTCGTTAGTACCTGAATAGTACATAGAAAAGATATATCTTATTCCAAAGATACACGTGTGGAGCAGGGGAGATAAAATTTTCTCCCAGACAGACTATGTACTGTACACGAACTGCTCCAAAACTGAAATGTGAGTAGGAGCAACAGTTTTTGACTAGAAGCTAACATGTGACACTCTAGCCAATATTCCAAGCAGAAATGAATGCTATAGAATTAGAAGGGAGATATTTAATTAATTTTCTCCCCGATAAAGAGAAAATAAAGATCTTCTCAGATAGCCAGGCAGCCCTCAAAGTCCTTAGCTCCAATCGAGCTGCTACAAACTGTATACCTAAATATCCTTGAGTATCTCAGTGTTTGGAAAAAAGTTACTTTAATATCACCCTCCCTATGTGTACTTACCAAATAAAAAATAGGAGCGTAAATTCCTAATGCTGCAAAGGCACAGGCTATCATAAGTACTCTCAGGCCCTTACTTTTCAACGGGCTGAAGTCGAACATTGGGGGCTTAGGAACTTTGGTGTGCGACTTTTTCTCTTTCATTTTTTTTCTTTGGTTTTTTAAGTGAGTTATTGCTCTTCTTTGAGGGTGGTACAAATTGGCCGACCGGTAGACTATGGGGAGAAAAAATGCTAAGGCTAGAAGTCCGGTTACGCCTTGGAGACCGAGGCGCCAGCCAAGTTTCCTAAAAATTATATATTAATAATTTATTTTTATAATTTTTCATGAAATTACCCAATGGCTTCTTTGTAGAGTACAGAGAATAAAGCGATTCCAACGCCTGCTCCTGATTGCGCGACCATTTCGACGAATTCTCTTCTTCTTTTGAAATAGTGACTCAGAACTATTGTCGACGTTTCTCTTACGATACCTGCTCCAATTCCGAGAACCAGTCCATAACTAAGAAGTGCCTTTAAAATAAAAAGAAAAAACACATTTATAATGTTATTTTTTGTAGCTAAAAGTGTTTCCACACTAATGCCTTGATATAAGATTTAATATATTGTCTTGGTGACTTATACACCATAGTAAAACATCTCAAAATGTGTTAAAATGATAGTGATTACCTAGAAAAACCGAAACGAACTAAATTCCGCTTTTTAATTCACTGCGCATATGACTTTGACAGCTTCAGTTGTATCTCTCGAACTGTAATATTCCATAAAAATGATGAATTTGGATCATGCTGTAGAACCCTGATTGTTGATGTTCAATATTAATAAATATAAACTTCCAGTCAAATATGGATTATAAAAAATATTTCTAAAACAACGAATGATTGGAAAATAATAACCAATAATTTATAACAGTTACCAAAAATGAAAATAAACTACATGATTAATATTTATCGACATTAAATTTAATTGGGTTTTTAATAGATTCATTATTTCATTAAATCGTAATATTTTTTAGAAATATAGAGTAAAACATATTTTTTGCGAATTTTAGTTTTTCTAAAGTGTTATTCTAACTTCTAACCAAGGAAGAAATAAAAGAATGATCAAATAAATCAATAGACACCAATAAAATAAGAAAACTGTAAGATTTAAATTTTGCTTGAATTCTAACCCATTCTCTCTTCTTAATGATGAATAGGAAGGTGACGAATTAATTAGATGTTTGTGTTTTAAGACATATGTGTAATATTTTGAAACAATTTTGTTCAAATCTCTTTTAGGCAAAAGGCCATATTTACTTGACATCTTCAGCAGACTTTCTTGGATTTTCGTAAATAAACCATTCGACTCTAACGCTTCCCGGTCGCAATCTTCCATTAAATTCGTTAAATGTATTAATTTTGGATGACATATTTGCACTTGACTCAACTCTTTGTAGTATTTAGATAAATTGTACTTTTCAAAGCATTCTATTTTTTTTCCTCAAATTGTTTAACGCAAAGCTTACACGAAATGTTTTATATAAGAATATATTTGTTTGCTGGTTTACTCAGGGCCGACTAGAGGGGGGGTAGCCGGGACCAATTCCCGGGGCCCGGGCTTAAATGGGGGCCCGGCAGCGCTGTAAGGGGGGCCCGACAACAGGTTTTTTTTGTTCTGCATGAGAAATTCGACACAAGATGAGAGAGGAAGTTAAGTTTAAATTAAAATTAAATGCAAGTAGAGGAAAAGTTTTAGCCTAGTGAAGTGTTTTTTCAGAAGAAGTAATTGAAAGGGAGAATAGTTTTTTGATGGGAGTTCCTTTTTTTTAAAAGAAGAAGTAATTGAATTAGTGAGAATAGTTTTTTGATGTGAGGACCTTTTTTTTAGAAAATTCTATTTCTGTCGAAGAGGAACAGTTTTTGGTTAAGATTTTTTTTTGCCACCGGGCCCTATCTACAGAATTGTCCTGGGGCCCGGCCTGGCTCTCGGCGGCCCTGGATTTACTATATAGTAACTCTAATGGCGTTTTTGGAACCTTACTCGGATCAGAAAGATTACGGCTCCTATTGTTCGTTTACCTATGGTTACTAACCTTATCCCTGTTCGGAAAGTAGTAGATTACTGATCCAGTTTTGTAATCGAGATCAATATTTTGTGACTCACTCTACGAGTAGATTAGCAATAGAACCGCAAGCGCACTGCAGGATTTTATATGGTGCGTTTGATTTGATCATCGGAGATCTCCGAGCGCTGCAAACGTGTTTAAATTGACACTCCGAGAGATCCCTAAAGTGTTTGTTTTGCTTTGGAGCGAAAACATAGAGCGAGCTCGATGTTCTCAGAGCAGATGGATCGAGAAGAGGGAGAAATTTGTCTTTGTCTCTACCTATCTCCTTTTAACTAACTTACAAACAAATTTGAATCTCAAAATTAAAGACCAGACAAGAAGTCAACAAATTACTTAGCCGCTTTTGTCTTATAGCTAAAATTATTCGTAATAAAAAACACAAAATGTGTGTTTGAAAAAAGCGAGGTTATGTTTTTTACTCTGTTTTATTTGATTTGATTTGATTTAATGCTCTATTGTGACGTCATCACTTCTCGGTCTCCACGACGCTCGCTCAATCGAGTTTCAAATCAAATGCCCCTATAAAGGGATAATGCAATTTTTTGGTGTTTGGTGTCTACCAGTAGTAGATCTGAAGTTTTTTCTACCTTCAATTAGTTATAACTTGTAATTTTTATGCCCATATTGCAACTTTATTATTCAGATTACAAATATGTTTAATTAAAATGGTTCTTTATTAAATAGGGGGAAAAAGTCAAAGATTGACAGCTGTAGATAAACAGGATCAATAATCCAACGCGTTCGTAAACTATCGGCACTAAGATCAGTGATCCACGTGATCCATCGGCTAAAACCAATACTCTGGATTTGTTATCTATAGTAGGTTTCTGAAAATGCCTAATGTAGTTTACCAATACAAACCTCATCTGTCAAAGCATGATCGCCTAAACAGTACAAGTATGTGACCTTATTAGTAAACTCCCAAGGCCTAAGATGATACCTTCACCTGTTATGCGTCGCATATTTCAACTGTTTTGATTTTGCTAAAAATAGCCACCCTCACACTTTACCCTTGGGGTATTATTAAGGGATTTGGAAAGATTATGATTGGGAATTGTAAGTGTTTGTAGGTTTATTGTGTCTTAATTTCGTATTGTTCCCTAAAAAAGATAGAAAAAACAGGGTTGTCGTTTGTGGTATGTGGTATGTGGTCTATGGTTTTTTGTCATAATTCACTGAGAAGGCTATAAACCACCCGGAAGTGCTGCCGTCGATTACGAAAAATCGCTCTCGGCCGCGGCCCTACCGGTCAGTTGATAGCTCAGTCCTCCGTCGGACTAGATCTCGTAAATATCCAGTCCATGCAGGGTTGCCAATCGTACAGTAATTACCGTACTTGTACGGTAATTTCGATTAATGTACGGTATACGGTTCAAAGTCATTACCGTACATAAAAGTACTGTATTTACCTACATAAAAAGTACGGTAAACGTACGGTATTTTCAACAGAATTAGCAATTAAACATTTTTGAAATTATAGATTCGCTTTTCGTAGAATTTACTTTCATTTTATTCTCGGATAAGTACTTCGTTAATGCTTCATTACTATGATCATCCAGTCTGCTGCTCGCTGTTTGAGCTGATCAATGGCTAGTGTATATACAGATATCGTCGGCGTACTGCACCGTTTGTACCCCATTATGTCCCGTTATAATGGTGTACAAATGCGGCCACAGTACTGAGCCCTGTGGTATTCCCACCAATGCTAGGGAAGCTCCTGTTATGGTTGAATTTATTTTGATATTGAATTTTTAAGGATATGCCAAAATTATTTTGACAATGTGTACAGGAAAGTCATTCAAAAGCATTTTGTAGATTAACCCTCGCGTCCATACGGTCAAGCGCCACAAGCACCGTTTGTAGGTCCTGATTGAATGCCTCTTTGGCATGATGAACAATCCTCAGAACCTGGGCCACAGTGCTGTGCCCCTCTCTCAAACCGTATTGTTCCCTCGGGATAATCTGTATACGTTGTTCTATTGTTTGTAATCGTCGTAAAACTGTCAATATTGTTTCTCATTTTTTCCGGTTTTAGAATTGAGATTATATTTGCCATTTTCAGACTACTGGGATAGTGTTGTAGTCTGAAAATGGCATTTATTGTGTGGTAGATCTGCACGATAGCTTTTTAAGCAGTATGTTGCTAATATCGTCCGGTCTCGAAGCTTTTTTAATTTTGAGATACTTAATTACCTCACAAACCTCTCTAGGAGTGGTTAGGAAAGAATGGGGCACTAAAAGTGGTTCTAGTTGTTCGAAATCGGCTACTGAATTTTCGATATGTTGTTGGTGAGGGTTATTATCCTCCTTATTTAGAAATTGAGCTTGGAAGAATTTACCTAGGGCTTAACCATTGTCTTCGTCTGTCGCTAGTAGTTTTTGTCCTTGTTTCAGTTTGGGAAGCACAAAAAGTTGTCTTTCGATTTCAGCTCTCATAGGGTAGTTTGCCATTTTTTATTTCTGTGTTCTTTTATCATATCGTTGATGTTTTGCGCAAGATTTAGCATCATAACCCTATCACGTTTTGTCGGTGTGTCTACCACCTTTTTCTAAGTCTATTTTTGTTGTTAATTAGGTCAGTGATTTCGAGTGGCAGCGTATCGTAATGTGGTGTATATGTTTTTAATGTTGTTGTCTCGTTTCTTTTTGTATATTATGTATGAGTTGTTTTGTTTCTTTTTCTAGATTTTCTACAGTCTGAATGCTGTTATTAATTGTTTATTTTGTTTCTGTACTGTCTCCAGTTTGTCGATTTGTAGTCGTAGTATTGTGTTATAATGTCAGGTTGGATTAATAATTTTTTTCCGAAATTATGGTGTGAGAAATGGTATGAAATTTTCTTACCTCATACCACGCAAGCTTCGGGCACGAATATTTTAGGAAAATTTTCAAAATATTCGTGCCCTCAAAAAAATTTCCGGAAATAATTTAAGCTCTTGTGATATTATAAGTAAAAAATTATACTATGACATTAAAAAATAAATAGTAAACTGTTTTTTACTCTAATATTTCTGAGTACTGGTACTTTAGAGAGAAGATAATTTTTCTTACAACTGAAAGTCGATTTGTAGTCGTAGAAAAAATTAATTTTGTTACCTGATGAAACTGTACGGCGAACGATGTAAACAAACAAGCCAGTGATATAACTAGACCACCCAAGAACGCTGCCAGGCGAGCTGATTTTCGTCTGCAAATTGCAACTACGAGTGGAGAAGTGATGAATGACATGCAGAGACATAGCGCTCCCATCCAGGCTGTAAGAAAAATAGGCATTAGGTTACATATATGTCATTTATATAAACATGAAAATTTATCACAAATTGTTAGGATTTAAAGTCAATTGAAAGTTCCACAAGGGTCCATATTGGGGCCTTTAAACTTCTTAATAAATGATAATGATAATTTAAGTAACGATTTAGCGGTAAATGCGATAAAAATTATTTATGAATAAATGGTATAATAAACCATGGTGAGAGAAGCTTTTAATTTCAATTTTTCCTGATTTATGCCCTGTTAAATATTTAAGTTTACTGCCCGTTTTATGAACTTTGTAGGATTTATTAGTGTTTTCTAGTGTCACTTGAGATTATTTATGTATAAAAACAATGCCCAATAGTCAGAAAAACCTTGAAATAATTTTAATTTTGTCAATGTTTTGATAATAATTTTTGCATTATAACTAGGTATAAGTTTAGGTTAATCACATTTCATACTGAATAATTTTTCAATTAGACACCTTTTTATCTTTTGCAATAATTGATTGATTCTAGACACTTTATTTATTTGCCAACAAGGTGATTGTTTTTTAAATGAATCTTATCTAATACATTTCATAGTAATTAGAAATTATAAATACTAATAGTACGTTATGTCAATGATTATTCAAGTTTTACATGAATTTATTTACAAAATTACTAGAATATGATTAAATGCTAAAATCCGAAAATCGGTATCTAATTTTCATATTTGAAAAAGCACGTGGCATAATTCTGAAATTGTTTAACGTAAAAAAAAGCATTTTAATTAAATATTTTTGACGTCTTGCTAGTAGAAAGTATTTAGTACCATTAAGGCTGCAGTATCACTGTATTTTTCATATAAGAAGCAAGGGTTCACCATTTCCGATTGCATTTAAATCCCGCTAAATGTATTAAAATGAATCTTCTATCAGCTTAAAGTATAAGCTTTGGAGAATGAAATCTTCTATTTTTTATTTGTCCTGTTTATACACTGAATTTAAAAAAAAATCATAAAAAGTGATTTTAAAACCAGAGCTAAAAATTAGGAGATTTCATTCTACATATTTTTCCAAGTATCCCACCAAAATATTTATAAATTTTATTGCGTATTTTTTAAATCTAAGTGGAAATACGATTAACAAATATTTCATAAATTTATTTGTCAAATTAGAGATTTTCTATGAATTTCTGTGTATTTCATCTATTTTTAAGATGTCGTCATAAAAAACAATGTAGCTACTCTGTTTTAGAGACAGTTTTAATAGGTGAATGATTATTTAGAGGTACCAATTTTTGAATCAGGGATCCAGCTGTATGCAGTTTTTTATTGCTTCGTGATTTTCATATATATCTGTCTCGCTTGGTTCCAGCTACAAAATTATCGATTTATTTTCCCTGTGTATGAACAAGTGTTGGCTACGTTGCCAAATTATCGATTTATACAATAATTTCACAATTCTTTCTAGGACAAATTTCATTTTAAAGTGGGTGAAATATACAATGGTGAAATGTAGGAAAAGGAAGGAACTTTATTGCATTGGAATCTTATTTCTGAGTTAACACGTTGACTGCTATGAGTGTTAAAGACAAGCAAGTTAAAGTTATAAGGATACATATTTTAAAAATATTTTTGGATTAACAGGGTGTTACATTTTTGCCTGGCATATTTTTAAAATAGAACATGTATTTGATTTCAATTTTAGAATGGTTTGGTAATACTGTATTCAACACCAGAATAATTTTAAAAAAATGTTACATGTCTGCCAAGCAATTAAATTTTTATGAAATTAGAGAATGATGCAGACCCCAAATTAAATTATCATAATTTAGGTAGGATTACATTGAAATTGTTTAATATACTGAGTAGCACATTAAGATAACAAATAGTAGTGATAGTGCTGGATTCTTTTATATCGTTTTGAAACATGTCTTAAACATGGTTACTTTTAAGTTCAAATTACCCAATTTTTTCAAAGGCAGCACCCAGTATAATATTCCTTATATTCCTTATAAATTTGCATATCCAACGATACCAACATGTTAGAGAATAACATATATACAGAGTGTCCCATCAGTGCGTAATTGATCGATATCTGTTTTATTATTGGAAATAAGAAAAAAAATTAATATAAAAGTTGTATGACCATATTTAAAAATTATTTCTATATATATACAGGGCGGTCCATAAACGAGATATTGACCAAACCTATACATTTTTAAAGCAAAACACCCTGCAGGTAGTTATACATATTTGATTGTTTTCACGTCGTCAAATAATTTTAATTGACTTCATTCATTTGCTATGTTATATATAGGGTATGTCAGCACGCGAGGTTACAAATTTTTTTCAACTGTATTAATTAATTGGTGACATAACATACAGGGAGTTCCATTTAGAAAATTGAAAAAATCGTAACCATTTTGACACACCCCATATACAACATAACAAATTAATGAAATTGAAATTATTGTTTGACGATGTGAAAACAATCAAATATGTATAACTACCTGCAGGGTGTTTTGCTTTAAAAATGTATAGGGTTGGTCAGACAATCGTTTATGGACCACCCTGTATATTTATAAATAATTGTTAAACATGGTCATACAACTTTTATATTAATTTTTTTCGTATTTCCTATTATAAAACTGCTATCGATCAATTACGCACTCATGGGACACCATGTATATGGTATATTGGTATATTGGTATCGTTAGATATGTAAATTTATAAGGAATTGTATGCTTAAATAATATACAGGGTGTGGCATTTGAAAAAAATTAAATAAATTTAACTTGGAATTAGCCATATTTAAGACTTATTTTTCAAAACAGTCTGTATAAAATAATCCAGTTCTATCACTACTATTCGTTAGCTTAGTATCTTATTACTACATTTTAAAAAAAATTTGAAATCATTGTAAACCTACCTAAATTATGATAATTTAATTTGGGGTCTGCATCATTCTCTAATTTCATAAAAAAATTCATTTATTGGCAACCCTGCAATATTTGCTAATAACATTCTAGGGTTAAATACAGTATTACCAAAACATTCTAAAACTGAAGTAAAATACAGGGTTTTCTATTTAAAAAAATATACCTTTTTATTTGTGCAAAAAAAAACGCAAAACCCTGTATGTCTAAAAATATCTTTAAAATACCTATTTTTGAAATTCATATAACTTTTATTTAGAAATTGTTTATGTGTCTATAACACAAAATGAAATATTGAACAATTACGCACTAATGGGACAACCTGAATATGTTATTCCCAATATATGCACGCGGCATATATTTGTAATAATTTAATCCCGCGTCGCGTTTATATATTTTATTCTATTAGATACTGTAGTTTATCTAAGTATTTACTTAAACTACTTTACTCTTAGAACGTAAAAATAAACTTAATTTTTTAGAAAAACTACTTCGGCTCAGCAGACTCGATCACAACATTTGCTTCGGCAGTCAACGTGTTTTAAGTGCTTTTTTATTCATTTGTTGTTACATTTGTATTTAGTTATTAATATTTCAAAAATGCTTATTTTTCTTATTGATTGATCTAAAATACACACGTAATTTTTATTAATAATTGAAAATACTACTGTAATTCTGAATTGATAAAAAAAGTGAAAATAAAAAAACATAAATTACAACTTTACAAATGAAGTAAAACTTTATGATAATTTTTTTTTCTTAAAAAACATTATCTCAGCAATATGTCATAAGTTGCATACATACAGTATGTCTATGTAAGTTGACAGCATATAGAAAACTTTTTTATTATTAATTTTACGAAAAAAAAGTTATTCTTCATAAAAATTTATGCATGGTCTAACAGAAAATGCATCCACCCGATATCAAATTTTATCAGTCGGTTTTACAAGGTTTGTCAAAAAATATGATTTTGCTCAAAATAAAATACCTTTATTTTCGACCAACCCCGTATATGACTGATAAAATTTGATATCAGATAATTCAATTTTAGGTTTTAGATCATGCATAACTTTTTATGTAAAGTAACTTTTTTTCTAAAATTAATAGACTATGCAATTGTCTATGTTTCCTTTTCACAGCTTTAATTCTACAATACTGTAATGCTACAATATGGATCCATTTTTGTGATTTATACTATTTAATTTTAATCGTAAGTGACCAACCTATTCTTATATTATTGTATTACAGGCATTAAGATGTCCCTGTGAAGCCGAAACTAGTCTCCTGTATTTATTTATAATAAAACTGATGTATTGGTTTTGAAGTTTTATTCCTTAATTCAAAAAATTAGACCTTTACAGAAATTTTGTTATATTTCCTGCATCAGACACACATATAAGACGGTATACATTTTAAAAATAGTAAAATTAGCGAATTTTTTAGTTTTTTTACAATTAAAATTTTTTGACAATGTGTATTCTTACAGAGAAATGATACGCCACTGAACAAGAGGGAATTTACCTTCCTCACTTTCTCTCACTGATCTGTATTATTTTACTGGATAGGAAATAGCCCCCTAAAAAACGTTCCGAAAAATCGGCCGATTTGGGCAAATAATATGGCGGACCGGATGTTATTTAACGTAACCTCTAGTTCCATTTGTCATCACATTTGTCATTTAATTGTGTCAACAAGCTACGATGAGATGTTTTTATTGTGGAAAACAAAGTAAAAAGAGTATGAAATAAACAATAAACGTTCATTCCTGAAGACACAATATGCTTCACGTTTCCATTTTTATATTTTCTTTCATAAAAAATCAAATCATGGGTGAATTTTCCCGAAGGACATCGCCCGCAAAAGGAATAGAAGAAGAATAAGAAGAAAAACTAATCAAATTATAGGTTAGGTATGTCAAATTATCGCAAATTTCAGTTCTGTGAACCCACCATAATTTGCCCAAATCGGCCAGCATTGTTGCACTTCCTGTCTCCTTGGTGGAACGGTTTTTTTAGTAAGTTAAATATAGCCTATATCCTATCCAGTAAAATAATACAGATCAGTGCTTCCTCTACAGATGTTGCAAACACAACATTCGCCTACAAACTCGTTTCATGCTTCCTCTAGTAGTAAATGCTCGGAGGTCTTTACCATATAATCAGAGATTAGGGACATAAAGATTGGAAACGCAACGAGCGCAGTAACGATGGCGTCATCTAGCGTCTCAGATGTTAACTACGAGTCTACGTCGTTATATTTTTTTGAGAGATCGTACAAGTATAGTAGAAAAAAGGTATTTCGACAAAAAAAATGTACAATAGATACATGCATAGCATAATATAACTTAAACGGAATGACAAAAAAAAACTTTGGCATGATAATTTATTTATCTATTTATAAAAATGTTTACAACGAAAAAAAAACTAAAGAAAATACATGAAACTTTAAATTAACACATTTAAAGTAATCAATGACTGTCACTTGAAAGTGATTAAAATTTTGCATGCAAGCTTTTCTTATGCCGTGATAGTCGGTGTACAAAATCACGATAAGTCAGAACGAAAATGACTGCCTGCAGAAATTACGAATGGCCTATGAATCTTTGCAAGTAGTTTTTGAGTTTTATTGTATTATGTTCTGAAGTTGTTGCAGATATTTAAATATGTTTACGTACGATCAAGGCCTGTGGTACGATCTCACTGATGCAATCGTACATCGTACACAGAGTTAAAAAATCGTATAAAAACAATTTAAATCCTACGGTTGGCAACACTGAGACAGACAGTAGACGTGGACAGCAGTGGACAGTTTGTAAATATAAATGTCAGTTAGTTTTATGTATATCGAAGAATCCATGATTGTGTTATCCTCTAGTGAACTAAGCGAAATATTTGTGGCTATGTGAAATTTGAGGACAAAAATTATATTTTGTAATATTACAATAAGTCGGGCACGTATTGCATTAGTAACACATGCCACATGAACAAATTTAACAACCCCAATGTGGCGTTCTTTAATTAACCAAAGTACGTAAGATCTATTCATGTAACACATCATGTAACACATCATGTAACACATCATGTAACACAAATAGTAATCAACTTTTATCACAAAGTAGGTATTTATGTATTATTTATTGTTTTAGAACTAGAAAATGGCTTCAAAACGTTAGAAAGAAGATTTGATATAGGACCAAAAATATCTGAATTCCCATTATTGAATTTGAACTCAACGTTTTTAAATCATTGGCCATTCGTTTGGAAAATAAAAACAAAAATGCAATGTTACAAATAATCAAAAATTAAAAAATATTTGTCATGAATATATATTTACAATAATTAATCGATAATAGACTGTAAGTGTAGTATTCTGTTTAATAAATAATTTATCGTAATTACATTGTTTAAATTTATTTAAAAGAACATGAGAGTGCAGTCGATATTTATATAACCTTTATTATCAAATTTTTAAATTTCCCGCTGCGTTGTTTGATATCGATGAAAGCGCCACATAGTGGGTCAGATGTTAACTGCGATAAAGCTGGTCGTTGTTAAGCATTGGCTTCTTATAGGCGTTTCCTATGTTTATCTCCCTTATCTCTGCATATATTTTCCAAATTGACAAAAAATCCAAAATGACATTTCAGTCACGTCATTTCTATTATAATTTGTCTATATAATTTATATTTTGTAATTTGCCTATAATAATAATGAATCAACTCAGTGGAAAGTATGTTAATGTCGTCCTATCCATAGAATGTGGACGAGGAATGGACTTTTTGAAGAACAGTGTATATATTACAGCCAATTTTAATGGTAGAATATTAGGTAAGTACATAATGGTTTTAGCTTACCAAACAGTAATGTATAGTAAGGATATACAGGGTGTCCCAATACTGTGTGGAAGTTCGATATATACTATATTATAGAAAATATCAAACAATTAGTACAGTATCCGTAAGTAATGTCGACCTTCACCCATCTGTTTGATGGATAAAAGTTTTTTTTTATTAAACAAAATATGTTTTTAAATATACCGCAAATGGGTTGCCTAAGAAAATACGGTCAGGGCCATTTTTTGCTTTCCTTTCTGTGTACAGATAAGGAAAGTATAGGAATCATGATAAAAGTTGCTTATGATGCCATTCTCTATTATTTTGTTCCTATACATAATTTCCCTAAAATAGACCTAATTTGAGATATTTGAGGAAAACTGCAAATTTCTAATGTTGACTCTGGACCATATTTTCTTAGGAAACCCATTTGCAGTATATTTAAAAACATATTTTATTTAATAAAAAGAAACTTTCATCCATTAAACAGATGGGTGAAGGTCAACCTTACTTCGGATCTTAGACTAAATGTTATTTAGAAAAGCTGTAGATAATATTAATCTGCACATTTCAAAATTATTTTCGATTACACAGAGTGATCCATAACTTCAGAATTGATCAAACCTATGTTTTTTTAAATGGACTATCCTGTATTTAATTGTAAATTCGAATTCCCCTGACTTTGCCCTTCAAGAAAATACCAACATGTATGAGGTTATACTGGGTATTTTGGAAGTTTAAACCAATTTTTTATGAAAATCGTTCTAGGTTCAACACTCTGTATATTTCAAAAGAAACAATCGAACATCAAAATTTTTTGATCAATCATTTTTAATGATAGTCTACTTTTATAAGAATATACTAATTTTTCCTAGCGCAACAGACGTGTTCAAAGTGAGTCAAAACTCAGATACATGATTTTCTCAATTTTTTTAAATGTAACACTCTGTATTTCATATCACTACTAAAAAGTACTACGTTCGTTTGAGTTAAATATTACCTATCCCTAAACACAACGGTTTAGCGAGATTCTTAGATGAAATGTTAAAAAGGGTTAATTATAACTAAATTCACAATGTCATCCATCCAAATACTAACTGCGCTCGGCCTGGCTTGACTGCAGATATCGATACACAATCAGTGAACCTGCTAAGCCGGGTCGATGCCAATTACTGGTTCTTATTTTCCATACTTTGTTTTCCAATATAGTACCGCTTTTTTTTTCAGATTCCATGTTTCTGTAGCGTATTATTGATTTTATTATCGCCTTTTACTTTGGCAATATTTACAATTAAGTAGTATCCTTTATATCCCAAAACTGTTTGATCACTTTTCTATTACATTTCGTTTTTTTTGTACTCTTTTCAGACGCTTCGTTCCCATTGCATTTATTCTACTTTTGCATTTATTCTACTTTGTTGCTGTTTTTTTAACCAGTTTTCATTTGCATCGTCTATTTTTTCGTCACCATGCTCATATTTTGTCATCTCTTTGGTTTGATTTCTCCACTATCGTGGACATATTCCTATAATAATCGATATTAAAAAACAACTAAAACAATTTTAATAATTTTGTTGCAGAATCCGATCATCTTCCCCCTGAAGAGAATCCTCCATTCAACACCGAACTCGTTTGGGAAATCGAAAAGAAAGAACTACGCAAAATAAGATCAGCCAGTCTTCCGTTGAGGGTCGAGTGTATAACAATTGATACTCAAAGCAGAAAAGAACGTATCGGATTTGCTTTATTAAATCTTCGAAGCGCTCAAATCATTCCTGAATCCAAATCGAACACTCCAGTGACACCAGCTTGGTACAAATTAATTGGCTGTCAAGCCGATAAGAGGAAAAGCCATCCCGAACTGTATCTCTCTTTGTCTCTAAGAGATCATCTTTTCAACGATCAAGTTGACGTTGAGAATCCTAATAATACAATGCCGTTCATTTTAGAAGAAGATACTCAAAATTTGGAAGACACGTCCCGTGGAGCTGCTACTTATGCTTTAAAGTACTTCGAGAATGGTCATATACAAATAGGGGACGAAAATATCGCGAAAGAACCTTTCGTGTTTAATCTACTGATCAAAGATGCTGTTAATTTGGATGCTTTATTACCGGAAGCGTTGGTTTTTCAAACAAACACTGGAAGTTACTTCCTAACTTTTAAGATACTCGGTATTATCGTCAAAACGAAGCCGTTCCAGAAGCAAATGCACACCAATATCAGTCTTAACGAGAAAATAGTTGTTAACTTGTTATCCAAAAGAGATATCCTTGAAAAATTCTTCCAGACTCAAACTATAACGATAAGTTTTTACCATGGATACGATAAGCTAGGAGTTACTAAGCTAAATTGCGATAACATTTGGGATCAGAAAGAAGAAAAATATTTCTTTAAATTCCCATCTCCAAACGGAATCATTCCATTCGGTGGCACTGAACAATCACCGTTCATAACTTTAGAAGCTTGGATTGAAGAAACTCCTGAATCGAAGTCACCAGAATCACCAAAATCGCCAAAGTCTCTCGAAGAAGAAATATCGACCCCCGAAGAAGTTGTAGAGAAACCGAAAACAAGAAGCATTTTTTCGAATATTTCTAAAAAAATTAAAACACCCACTGAACCTGATGTCGATAAAATTAACACAGAAGAACCAGAACCTGAGGTTTACAGATCGCCAAGAAGTGAAATGGAAATTGTTCCGTTTGTAACTAAATCCGTCGACACTGTGGTTATTAATGACCCTCTTACTCCTAGACCACACAATATAACCGATTTTTACGAAAAATTTGTGGTCGTGGTCAGTTTGAAGCATTTGATTTGGATCACCCCACCACCGGATACTAAAGTGATGTTCAAATTTTTGCATCCTAGAGCTGGAAGTTGTACTACAATCTTCACTGAAATCAGCAACGTAGTACAACACGAAATATCTTTGAATAATCTCTATGTTAGAATTGGATACATATCGACGTATGATAAAATAAACAAGCTGTTAAAGAACTGGTATCCAAAACTAGCTCTAGCTAACGAAAACGAGACTTTCATTTCTGATCAAAGAGCTCTAAGCGTCAACTGCTTGGATAGCAAAAGCAAAGACTACGAAATTGAATGCAAAAATTTAAGAACAGGCATGACTCTTGCTAGGATTGGAATTAACGTCACTATGAGAATAACAGATGCTAAATTGGAAGACGATTATGAAAATTTGTATCTTCTACCTATTATATTAGATGAAATAATCACAGTGAAAGAAATCGCAGATTTGATGCAATGGAAGAAATCTTATAGAGCGGAATTCGAGCTTAAATTGGAAGAAACAAAACAACACGAAATAAAAAGACTAGAACACGAGTATCAACTGAAAAAAGACGAATTAGAAGAAAAAGTCAACAAAACAGTAAACAAATGCAGAGACGTCCAAAACGATTTAAGGAGTAAAGTAGCTGCATTAAAAATCGAAAGGGAGTTAAACAAAATGGGCAACAACGAATACACCTACGACGAAATTTATAAAAATAACTGCAAACTCTATTCCAGAGATAATACGCAAGAAGTCATCGAAGTATTGAGTAGGCTACAACGAGACAATGAAAGTTTAAAGAAATTGCTAGCCGAACATAAAGAAAAACTGTCCCAAATGGAAAAAGCTACCGTAACCAAAGTGGAAACTAAAAGTCTATTACAAGAATGGAGCGTACTAGAAGCTAAGTTTTCTCAAGTTCAAACCGCCAAAACGTACTTCGAGAAAAATTTTAAGAAAGCCGCAACTGAAAGTGTCGATTTAAATGCCGAAGGGAATTTGGGTCGTAGAGATGATGAAGGCAAGAACGATAAGATCGATAGAAATGAGAAGATTTGTATAGATATTCCGACTTTTTATACAGAACAAATTCAAGATGGGGATATAATAGAAAGCGCTAGTGACGATGTTAGTGAAAATAATTATTAATAAATGTATTCTGAAATTAAGGTTTAGTTTAATATACACTTGACTCCACAGTTTTAAGACAGTATTTTTTTGTAAATTATTTAGTTCTCGAACTACATGGCATTTTTTTTGTGATCATGGCACAGTACAGTTCATCAAATTTCTAGAGGCTTTCGACGGCTAGACAGAGAAAGCACTACTGAGATGCATCGGTTGGCGGGGCCGACGGATTTACGCAATGAAAGTACACTCTGCGCATCAAGTATTTCACTATTTTATTCAGACGTAAATGTCAGATGTAAATTTCGCTAAAACATTTCTTTTATTTTCGTTTGTGTTTTTTGCTCATTATAGTTTAATAGAACCTAAGTATGGAGTTTAATAGCAAATTAAGAGGCCGCGTGATTAACAGTCAATCTCGCGAAATAATAGCCAATGTTATAGAGTTTATGAGAAGAGAAGGAAACTTTAATTCACCTTCAATACCATTTAAAAATGTAAATGATCGTGTTGCTGCAGCCACAGGAGTATCTATAAACACTGTCGTCCGCATTTCTGGAGAGAAAAAAAGAATCGATAACCGTGAGATATCGGAATTTTCATCACCAAGAAAAACCATTAAAAAACCAAAAACAGTTAATGATATAGATGAAGCTGACAAAGGTATTTTAAAAAGAATTATTCTGTTCATGTTAATCTCGGAAAATATTGTTCCAACATTAAAAACAATTCTGACTAAATTTAGAGAAGCTACAGGGTACAAAGGAAGCTATGAAAGTTTAAGAAAAACAATAAAGTCGCGGAAAACAAAAACAAACAGAAAAATATTAATGGAAAGGTTTGATATTCAAAAGCTACGTTTTGACTATCTGATTCGTTTAAAAAGTTATCGAGCAGGGGGCCGTCCAATTGTCTACTTAGATGAAACATACATTCATGCCTCCCACACACACCAGAAAGCTTGGAGTGATAATTCAAATGAGGGATTAAAGAAACCAATTAATAAAGGTGATAGACTAATTATTGTCCATGCAGGAGGTGAAATGGGCTTTATTCCGAATGCCCGGTTAATTTTCAAATCTGGAACCAAAAGTGGAGACTACCACGATGAAATGAATTTTAATAATTTTTCTAAATGGTTGAAAGAAAAGCTGTTTCCGAACCTCCCTCCAAGAAGCGTCATTATTGTTGATAATGCTCCTTACCATAATGTCCAGGTAAATAAAGCACCAACGTCAACTTCTAAAAAAGCTGACATGCAGGATTGGTTAAGGAATCATAATATTGCTTACGAAGAGGATATGCTCAAAACGCAATTATACAGTTTAGTGCTATTGCATAAGTCACGATTTAAGAGGTATGCAATTGAAGAAATGATAAATGAACATGGTTTTAGTTGTTTGCGTTTGCCACCGTATCATCCCGATCTTAATCCGATCGAATTAGTGTGGGCATCATTGAAACAATATGTAGCTAGTAACAACTCTACATTTAAGAGGCAAGACGTACAACTGTTGTGTGAAGACTTTTTTGATACGTTTTCTAAAGAGGAGTGGCAATCTCGTTGTAATAATGCTAAAATGTGGGAATCTAAATTTTATGACAGAGAAGTTACTTTGGATGAGGCAACTGATAGGTTTATAATTAACTTAAACAGTGACAGTGAGACTGATTTTGAATCTGATATGGAAACTGAAGAAAGTTTTTCGGAAGACCATTAAAAATGTAAAGCTAGCTTCCGTACTAGAACATGGTGTCATTCGTCGAGATAATTTATCGTTTTGTTTAATAGATCAAGAAATGTAAATTTTCCCCTGTTATTTTTTATAAAATTATAAGAGAAATAAATTTTTTTCTAAATAGTATAGTTTATTATTTTGTAGAAAAACAAAATTTCGAAAATTTTAGTAATGTTTCAGAAACAACCGTTATTAATAATAGGTACCATTTTCCTTAATAAGGTAGAAATAAAATATAAACTATTTCCACGATTTACAAAGGCCTACAAAAAAATTATAGGTATTTTCCGCTATCCTATAAAATTTATATTTTCTGACTCAATTTCAAAAGGTTGAAGGAATTCCAAAACACCTTTTATGGCATAATAATTATTTTCAATTCTACATACTATCTTTAGCTGTTTTTAAAAACGTTCTAAGAAAGTCCAATCAGACCAATTTAGTCGCTAAACTATTCCACACTTTTAAAATTTAATTACCTAAAAATATTAAAAACTATTTAAAATAACTTGTTTAGCAGACTGTACAATAGCTATATTAGTTACACGTAGCGCGTTCTCTGTCTGGGCGTCGAACACCTCTAGAAATTTGATGAACTGTATAGTTAGATATCGTATGCATACAAGAGGCTTTAAACGTTGTAACAAAATGGATAGAAGAGAAAGGACTAAAAATTAGTTCCAACAAATCTATGGTAATTGCACTAATGCTCAAGAGAAAGTCACAAGTGACTAAAACCGCTAAACCTCTGAGGTGATGGCTAGACGCTTCTTTGGAAAAAATGGGGACTGAAACACGGTATGGTATATTGGACACACAATATGGCGGTAAGACCGATAATAACATACGCAGCTTCGGTGTGGTGGACAAAGACATAACAAAGAGTGGCAATAACGAGACTAAACAAGATACAAAGACTCGCCTGTCTTGGAATAATGGGGACAATAAGAACAACCCCTACAGCAGCACTGGAAGTATAGGATAAACAACAATACAGAAAGGAAACATAGGGCTAAAACAAGAACCCAGCAACCGAAGCCACACCTTCTTCATGGTGGAGCATTGTCAAAAGTAAACCGTTTGGTACCTTAATCCATTAAAACGAGATATAAAGATACCATGCTCCTGTTTGCAACGACTTAGACAGAGAGCGTAGATTTGTTACTTGTTCGAAGTGCAACAGTGTACATTTTTGTAGCAGATGAACGAAACTGTCACTGCTGTCGCTGTCAGAAAATCAATATTTTTTGCCTGTCATATCTTTATTTGTCGTTTTTGATTTTTGGTTGTTTTTAAGCGAATATTCTGATAACTTTTACGTTTTTTTAGTGGTTTATTTTTAGTTTTTGTTGCTGTTTTTAATTGTGGAGTGTTAATTTAAGACTTTATTGTACGTATTAAAATAGGTTTATAAACAATGCCGCGTCAAAGTGGAGGAGAATATACATGTATTTATCGTGGATGTACCTCAAGAACAGGTGGCAAAGAAAGATTGTTCACTCTTGTGAAAGATTCAGTGAGGTATGTATGAAACACTGAGGGTGAAATAGGAATTGACCTTGCCATAACATTGTAGTACAATGATTGTATGTATTTTTCAGACTTGAATTGTGGCTTAAGGCAGCAAATAGAGGGGACTTATTGGGAAAGAGTTTTGAACACTTAAGTAAAGATTAAAAAAGTTGTGAACTGCACTTCCAGGATAAATTCGTTTATTAGGTAGTCAGTAACAAGAAAACGATTATTTGCAAATGCATTCCCAACAGTATTTCCCCATTCAGAACCTACAAAAAGAGTAACAGTTTTGCAAGGTAAATAAATAAAATTTATAATTAAATGATACAAAAAGTTTGCTACTCGTCTTGCTTGTCATCTTTTTAAATTACATTAATAGATAATTATATAGATTGATCATGCATCCATATGTTTTTTAAAATAAACTTTAAAAATGTACGTAATATTTTTTTTCTACTACCGTGCGTAAAGTACGTACTTTACGCACTCCACGAAGTGTGTAAAGTTGTACTTTTTTTCACTAGTGCGTAAAGTAAAACTCTTTACGCACTAGTTAAAAAAAATAAAATTTGACAAAATTTGTACATAACAACAAAATATAACGTTTTATTTTATATTAACATTTTTTTGCTATCTCCTTCTAAGACAAATAAATAAATTATTTTTGCTTATATCTATTTAGTGTCCAACAAATTATCAACAGTTTATTATAATTATAATTTTCTCTAAATGTCATCGATTTAATTAAAAGTAAACATACAGTGCATGTCGATTTTGGTAAAAGTAAGTTGGCCGTGGCTGTGTGGATTAGAAGAACTGTCAATCTCTAAACTTTTAATTAGTACCTACCTTATAACAGAACACGACAAAAGTATACTTAAGTTCAAGATTAGATTCTAAAGCCAATTTTGCACTCAATCAAGTTTGAGAAGGTAAAAGTTTTACTTTTTAATGTTTGTTTACTTAAATTCAAATTTTATTTGCAGTTTATTATATCTGTCATAATCGATATGGATTCAAATTTATCTAGCGATAGCGAATTTGATAATACTCCCCCAGATATCTTATGCAGTGCACAAAAGGCCACTGAAAATTTATTGCCAGAAAAATCTGCATATATTTATCAGCAAAAATACAATGCATTTATAGAATGGTGTAGGAAGAATAAGGTGACAAAATATTCGGAAAACGTTATTTTAGCATATTTCTCTGATGAATTGAAGAATTGCAAAGCTTCTACCCTATGGTCGATTTATTCTATGCTTAAAAGCACCTTTAAATATAAAAACAACGTTGATATTTCGAAATTCAACAAGTTAATAGCGTTTCTCAAACAAAAAAATAAAGGTTATAAACCAAAAAAATTCAAAATTTTTGAACGAGAAGATCTAATTAATTTTCTGTTGAAAGCTCCAGATTCCAAGTTTTTAATGATCAAAGTAAGTAAATGCCTCAGTAAATGCTTGAATGCTCAGTATAAAATTAAAATATTCTGTAAAGTTTTGCAACGAGATGTGTGTTCGTATGGTGTGTTGCCTAACAAAATCAGTTGCTGTCCTAACAGGCCACCGGGGTTGTTAGGCAGCACATTATACCTAAAACTTTTATATTTTTTACAATAGCATTTATTTGGAGTTTTACATGCGTAACGTCAAGATATTTCCTAATGTTTAATAAATTATTTGTAACATTACAATATGTTATTTTTTAGGTAGCTTTTATAATTGGAATTGCGGGAGCTTGTCGCCGGGAAGAATTATGTAAAATGACAATTAACGATGTGGAAGATAAACAAACAGTCTATATTGTCAAAGTATCAGAAACCAAAAATGGAATAGAACGCATTTTTACGATTTTAAATCCAAATAATTCTGCAGTTGATTATTTATCTTTCTTAAAAATATATACCTCATTAAGACCATCAAATATAAATTGTAACAGATTTTTTTTAAAATTCGCAAATGGAAAATATTCTAAACAGCCTGTAGGGATAAATACTTTTGGTAAAATGCCAAGTGTTATAGCAACGTATCTAAACTTGCCCAATCCAACGGCTTTTACAGGACACTGCTTTAGGGGGTCTTCAGCCACTATGCTGGCAAATTCTGGAGGAGACCTTCTAACGGTCAAAAAACATGGAGGATGGATATCATCTGCTGTTGCAGAAGGCTACGTAGACAGCACAATAACACAAAAAAACAAAATTTCTAATAAAATTTTACCGTTGACAACTCTAATGAAGAATTAGTGGAACCACTCGACAGTGAAACTAGAGTTACACAAAATATTTCAACCTCTTTACTTGAAAAGGCCAAATCCATACCACTCGAAGCTCAAAATAGGGTTACAGAAGTAATATCACAACATTTTTCAAACTCTGTGCTGGAAAAAGCCAAAACCTTAAGTTTTGGTAATTGCAATAATTGCACATTCAATATTAATATTCATAAGTTCCAATAAATTTATTTTTGTTGCTGTGTACAATTTTTGGCACATTTTACTTTTTTTCACTAGTGCGTAAAGTAAAGTACTTTTTTTCACTAGTGAAAAAAAGTAACTTTTATATTTCTAATATTAGTGGATTGTGTACGGTAGTAGAAAAAATATTGTATGTCACTCGTGTGTAAAGTCCCTTTTTTGACTCATGTGATTCACATTCGTCAAAAAAGGGTAACTTTACACACTTGTTGCATAAATAACTATTTTTAACTGTATATTATTCAAAGGCGGAAAATTGTTTTTAAAACATATCTTTTGTATAGATTTATTATAACCTTATTAAGAATTCCAAAATTTTGCAATTAATTTTTTTTGCAAAGTAATTTTGTGTTGATTGTATTAATTTCAGTACTAACTAAGGAAAATTTACTTATTTTTTAAATAATATAATTTAAAATGTATATATTCAAAATCGTTAGGCAAATTATTAAAAAAAAAAACAGATTTTTAACCCATTGATTTTTAATATATTTCTGTTATCATTCTATTATGTAAAAAAGGTTTTTAATAATAATATAAATACGGAGACCGCAAATACAGATACATCATTCAAATAAATGAAGACATTGTAAACAATTAAGTATGAAGTTATTTGTTTTTGTGTTGACAGTATCCATGGGTAAGTTGATTTTTGAAAATTTTTAAAAATCTTCAAAATAACCTAACTTTTATACTTTTTTAATATATTTGCCTTTTACTGATTCGGACTCACAGTTTCCTGTTTGTTTAAATTGTCTTTGATTTCTTGTATCTTAATTTTTCTTCTTCTTTAACTGATTCACTTTGCTCTATACATATTTTTCATGCTTTCTAGTTATTTGAAAATTGTTTCATCGCATTCAACATTTACCCTTTACTGTACTGATTTTGCCAATTTTATTTTCACTTATTTAACCGTTGTTACATCTTAGATCTGCCATTTGTTGTATCCATGTCTTTCTCTGTTTGCCAGTTCACTTTTTCATATTGTTTTAAGGTACCATTTCGGTAGGCGCTACAGACGACCGCCGACGCGACATACGACCGCCGATGCGACCGAGAAGTGTCGCTTCACATCTAAAATACATACATTTATTTGAAACACATTTCGCACGGCGCGACACGAGAAGTGTCGTCAAGACGACACTTCCTGCCGAAACTTCTGAATCTGTCTCGGGGTCACTGTCCTCGGAGTGTCGCACTCGAGGTCACTCTTCTTGGGCATCGCTTATTTTTTGGGGTGATTAGGTTGGAAATTTATTTTGATCTAGGCAGCGTTGCCAGATTTTGGAACAGTATGGGTAAAAAAAACCGTAGATCTGAACAGTAGATTTTAATACAGGGGGAAATAATTATAATTTGCAGTGTAGTAAATAACATAAACATTAAACACATGTTTTTTAATAAGCAAAACATCTGCCTAGTATCATCTCTTCTGGACTATCTATCAGCTACAATTTTAAAATTGCCAGTATCTGGATCTTCTTGGCAGTCTTTGTAGATTCTATCACCAACTATATATTAGCTTTTAATGACACTTCTGGTAATAATTGTAACTTGAGGAGGTCAGCGTTAATTGTTGAAGACTGATTAGATAATTTCTGAGCTGCTCCTGTTTTAAAAAATATAAATTTATAAACAAACTGTTACCGGAATTAGTTATTAGTTCAAAATATGTTAATTAAATTCTAAAAAGAGTTTAATTTTATTTTAAAATTTAATATTGCAGTAAATAACAATAGATGACCCATTATCTTTAATGTGCCTCAACTTTTTTCTGATTTTCGCTGAACACAAATTTTCTTATAAATGAAAGCGTTGAAAAATCCTAGAGGATATACATACACGATGGTCTCATCTTCTTGTTCACACCCCCTATAGAGTGCAGATGCTCTGATTTCCATCTTGGCACTATTGCTCACAGCCTTGTATTGTATTTTACCTGCCACTGCCAGCTCTTCTATTTGCTTCATTATTACTTTATATAGCCTTCTTTGTCTCTAAAACTGTCGATTTTGAAGCACCCAATCTTCAAACTACCTTTCACATTGTCTTTAGCAGCTTAAATCAGTATTTGCTGCCTTGTGTGATTCAAACTTCTTGAATGACCAACTTTTTAAAGTTTGTTATTCAGGCATTATTGTTTACACGTTCATTTTTATTGCAACACTTTAAATAAATTGTTTGTTATAGGTACGCTCGGTACCTATGGAGTACCAGTAGGAGTATCAAGCCAAGCGGCAAAATTTGGTACAAATAGGCGAAATGAAATAAAACTATATAACTACGTAACAAGTTTTGTTAACGCTTTAGAAGAACAACGTAATCTGAAAGGCGTTTTAAACCAAGAACAAATCGAAAAAATGCGTACCTCATCACAAGCTACACTAATACAAATAGATATCGTTTCGAAAGAATGTGACCAAAGGCAACGCCAAGATTTCTCAATAGGTATAAGTATATTTAATAATTTACTTAAAACAGTCAAGTTCCAAATAAAACAAAAGGAACGCCATAACTGGAGATATAATCCGAATGAAGACGAAAGATTATCCAAAAATTGTATATCAATACTGGATTCCCTAGAAGATGAAGATGAAAATGAAAACAATGCACAAAACACAAAATTAACTAATTGCCTAAATACAGTACTAACTCAAATTTCCCATAAAAATAAACTAAATATCGTCCAACGAATTCAACTGGTGCATACAGTTCGCAACTGTCAAAAGGAGGTACAAAAGGAAATCAAGAAAAAATGTTCTGCTAATAAAAACAACAAAGGATGTGCGGAACTCAATCAAATAAATCAAGCCTTTAACAAAAAAATAATTACAATTGGTGCACCTAATGAAGCTGAAGACAAACAAACGTCGCAAGTCATTATAACATTAATCGTAATACTTGAAGAAACTGGTAGGGCTAATGATAAAGCCAAATTGGAGAAGTTAGTCATAATACTTTTAGAACTTATTGAAGCTTACAAAGAAAAAATAGATAACGAAAATAAGCCAGACAAATTGGTTGCCAGAGAAGAAATAACATTATATGAGGTTAATAAATATATCCGTACATGTAAATCTGAGTCTAATTCAGGAGGAAACAACAGTAAAGATGTAAATAAGAGTAAGGAAGAAAACAATAGTAAAGAAGCCAACAAGAAATTAGGACAAAACAACAGTAAAGAAAACAATGGTAAAGATGAAAACAAATCAGGAGACAACAATAGTAAAGAAAATAACAAAACGAAAGAAGACAAGAGTAAGGAGGATAACCAATCAGTAGAAAACAATAGTAAGGATGATAACAAATCAATGGAAAACAATAGTAAAGAGAACAATAGTAAAGAGAAAAATAGTAAAGAGAACAATAGTAAAGAGAACAATAGTAAAGAGAAAAATAGTAAAGAGAACAATAGTAAAGAGAAAAATAGTAAAGAGAACAATAGTAAAGAGAACAATAGTAAAGAGAACAACAAATCAGTAGAAACCAATGGTAAAGATAGCAAAGAATCTAGAGAACGTTGCAGAGTCAATATTTGCCTTATTTTGAGACGAGTAAGAGATGTAATTGAAGACAATCTAAAAAGTCAAGGTAAAATCAATGCAAATCAGATTGGAGGGGCATCTCAATTACTGTCTATATCCGTAAGAGTAATCCAAAACTGCAATAACAAAGATAATTCGAAAGAAGAAACTAATAGTGGGGAATCTGGAGAAAACGAATGTGAAGCTAATAACAGTAACGAAGATAATCAGTCAGGAGAAATCAATAGCAAGGAAGATAACCAATCAGGAGAAAACAATAGTAAAGAAGAAAAGAAATCGAAAGAAACTAAGAGTAAGGAAAATAACCAATCAGTAGAAAACAATAGTAAAGATGACAAAAAATCAAAAGAAAACAATAGTAAAGAAAATAATAATACAGGAGAAAACAATAGTAAAGAGGACAACAAATCAGGAGACAACAATAGTAAAGAAGAAAACAAATCGAAAGAAACTAAGAGTAAGGAAGATCACCAATCAGTAGAAAACAATAGTAAAGAGCATACCAATACAGGAGAAAACAATAGTAAAGAGGACAACAAATCAGGAGACAACAATAGTAAAGAAGAAAACAAATCAGGAGACAACAATAGTAAAGAAGAAAACAAATCGAAAGAAACTAACAGTAAGGAAGAAAACCAATCAGTGGAAAACGATAGTAAAGATGATAAAAAATCAATTGAAAATAATAGTAAAGAGAACACCAATACAGGAGACAACAATAGTAAAGACAACACCAATTCGAAAGAAAACAAGAGCAAGGAAGATAACCAATCAGGAGAAAACAATAATAAAGATGACAATAATGCAGTAGAAAACAATAGTAAAGAAAACAACAACACATCAGGAGAAAACAATAGTAAAGGCGACAACATTAATACAGGAGAAAATAATAAAGATGACAACAAATCAGGGGAAAACAATGATAAAGGTGACAACACATCTGGAGAAAACAATAATGTAGTAGAAAACAATAGTAAAGAAAACAACAACACATCAGGAGAAAACAATAATACAAATGGCAATAATGTAGTAGAAAACAATAGTAAAGAAAACAACAGCACATCAGGAGAAAACAATAGTAAAGGTGACAATATTAATACAGGAGAAAACAATGATAAAGGTGACAACACATCTGGAGAAAACAATAATGTAGTAGGAAACAATAGTAAAGAAAACAACAACACATCAGGAGAAAACAATAGTACAAATGGCAATAATGTAGTAGAAAACAATAGTAAAGAAAACAACAGCACATCAGGAGAAAACAATAGTAAAGGTGACAATATTAATACAGGAGAAAACAATGATAAAGGTGACAACACATCTGGAGAAAACAATAATGTAGTAGGAAACAATAGTAAAGAAAACAACAACACATCAGGAGAAAACAATAGTACAAATGGCAATAATGTAGTAGAAAACAATAGTAAAGAAAACAACAGCACATCAGGAGAAAACAATAGTAAAGGTGACAATATTAATACAGGAGAAAACAATGATAAAGGTGACAACACATCTGGAGAAAACAATAATGTAGTAGGAAACAATAGTAAAGAAAACAACAACACATCAGGAGAAAACAATAGTACAAATGGCAATAATGTAGTAGAAAACAATAGTAAAGAAATAACAACACATCAGGAGAAAACAATAGTAAAGGTGACAATATTAATACAGGAGAAAACAATGATAAAGGTGACAACACATCTGGAGAAAACAATACTGTAGTAGGAAACAATAGTAAAGAAAACAACAACACATCAGGAGAAAACAATAGTACAAATGGCAATAATGTAGTAGAAAACAATAGTAAAGAAAATAACAACACATCAGGAGAAAACAATAGTAAAGGTGACAATATTAATACAGGAGAAAACAATGATAAAGGTGACAACACATCTGAGAAAACAATAATGTAGTAGGAAACAATAGTAAAGAAAACAACAACACATCAGGAGAAAACAATAGTACAAATGGCAAAAATGTAGTAGAAAACAATAGTAAAGAAAACAACAACACATCAGGAGAAAACAATAGTAAAGGTGACAATATCAATACAGGAGAAAACAATAATAACGGTGACAACCAATCAGGAGAAAATAGTATAATTGGTAACAAACCAGGAGAAAACGATAAAGTAGGTGCCAATAACTCAGGGGAAAACAATATCATAATTGATGACAAATCGGGAGAAAATAAAAGTAATGAAACCGTTATAAGCCAAGAAGCACCATGAAAATATGATAATGACCAGAATGACGACGTAGACCGTATAGAGGATTCATATGAACTTAAAAAAAAAATAATCTTAATTTAAAATAAAAAAATATTCATTGTTTTTGTATAAGCAAGCTTTTGTTATTTATTAATTTTGTGTGTTTGTTTAATTATTTAATTATTTGTTTAAATAAATGTTTTATTCATTTAAATTCAAATTATTTTAATTTTACCTTTTTGAAAGTATACTTTTGCACAATGTCAAACTCTAGACAAACTCAAATTTAAATTTTCGAACTGTCTTGTGGAAACAGTATCTAGACTATGTTAAAGTTACTAAAGTCTAAAGAAGAAAGGAATGCAGTAATTTAATTTGCAGAACGTAGTACAGGTTCAAGAAGTATAATAAAAATGTTTGACAGTATAAAAATCTGAATTCCCAAACCAAAATAATAATATGACTCGATAGATATTTAAAAGTAAAAGTGAGTAGAATTCCCCATATAACGGAACGAAAAAGAATCGGTTCGGACATAATGTCATTAGTAATTTAGCCCGAAGAACAGATAATAAATGGTTTTGCGGCCCATGCCCTTGGCTTGTAGCTTGTAAC